TAGATAGATAGATAGATAGATAGATAGATAGATAGATAGATAGATAGATAGATAGATAGATATAATAGATAGGCAGGAAGATAGATAGATAGACAGATAGATAGATGAAAGAAGATAGATCAGAGAGAGATGGTAGATAAAAAATTTTAATATGCTAAAACTGAAGTCTGTAAAGACTAGGAAAACGTCTGTGATTATATAAGTAGAAAACGCCAAATCAGGAATCTTAACTCAGATGTCTGTCTCCAAAATCGCATGCGTTTTAACATATCAGTGACTTTTAAACATTTGGTTCTTTGGAATGTCTTGTGGTAGTGAGAGAGGCCAATAGGAGGTTGCCCTTCCCCTTACTTCAACTAGAATGCCTGTTTACAACAAAAGATTTTCAACCCTGACCATCCAATACAGCGTGTGTTGGTATGGAGATTTTAACATTAAGAAGAATTTTCATGTAGGTCTGTAGGTACTAACGGACAGATATTTTATCTCCAATGAAAGAAAATCTATTTTTAGTCGTCAACCAATGAGACTTTAGTAGACTAGGCATCTGGGAGTCGTAAGCATTTACAAATGTATTTAGTTCAGATTTGGCAAGGATGAAGTAAGGGGAGGGTCAAGGCAATGAAGGTCACCAGACCTGGAGCCAGCACCTGCTTAGAAAAGAGGACTACAGAGAAAGGGAGGGGCCTGTGCGCTCACAGCATAGTGTCAGCGCGGCTCGATGATTCCCCTAAGCTTTAATGAAAACCATGCTGACAGCAAAATAGACGAGCACCGGCCCTATCATTTCAGAAGAGAGCTTTTGGACTGATTTGTGAATTTCTTTGCATTTGTTTGGTCATTTACTCACTCATTCATTCATCCCAATGATGGAGAGGGAGTCCAACTATAATGAATTTTACCAGGGAAGCAAGCTTTCTGGAAACACTTGAGACTTACTGTGCTGCATCAGAATGTTGCTCTGTTGTTTATTTTCTTATTTAAATGTTGAAACCTAACAAATGTTTGCGGATTCCTTTGAAACTTCCCCACGCCTTTATTACTTTAAAGTAAAGGTAGAGACAGCCATGAGATTGAAGGCTAAGCCCCATTCCCAAGAAAAAAGTAAGTTTCTCCCTATTACCAAGTTTAGATTATAAATTTTCTATCATTTCCTGGAAAGCAAAAAATGAGTTTTTACCTGAGCAAGGATGGATAAATGGAATTGGAAATAGAGAGGGTACAAAGTATATTATATGCTTTAAAAGTATCAAGAATAAAAACTACCAGGAGATGAAGTTCAGGGCCAATCTTTCCTTGAAAACAGAGACTTCTGCTAAGAGAAGTGTATTTCTAGGGCCTTGTTCAAAATTGTATCTGACTCTTATTTTATTTTTGTTCCAGTTGCTACATTGATGGCCGGGTGGTCAAGGTGATGGACTTCCTGAAAACTCGTCTGTTAGATACACTCTCTGATCAGATTAGGAAGATTCAGAAAGTGAGTAAAATTATTTGTGAGCTGATGTGCTTGGAACAAATGCAGGGAAAAGGTCGCAGGGTCTCAGCTGGAATTTAGAGCTATGGAAACAAGGGTAGGAAAACAGTCCAGGTGGCCATGGCCAGCATCACCCTCTTTCAATGATGATTGTGAGTCATTATTTTTCACATTTAGAAAAATTTGTTATTTGTCACATCAAGATCTAGAGTTGTTCTAACTAAGGATTTTGGGGATATGGAGCTCTTACACACTGCTGGTGTGTAAGAAACAGAACTGCACATGGCCCAGTCATCCTGAGGAAGTATGGCCATCATATCAAAGAGCTGTTCTCACTCCCATGCCTCCTACAGCACTGTTGAGAACAACGTAGACACAGAATTGACCAAAGTACCTACTAATGGACAAATGGATAAAGAAACAGTATAGCATTCCTTACATAGTGAGGAATGAAATCCTATCATTTTCTGAAACAGGGATGTCATTATGTTGAGTGGAATAAGCCAAACTCAGAAAGACAAATACTGCATGTTTCTTTCCCTATGGAAAAGGTGAAATAATTCACTCAGACAAGAAAATAGCAGAAGCTAGAAGAGAAAGGAGAAGATAGCGAAGTTGAATAGCAGGTGCCATAACACAGTGAGGTGGTGGAAATATGCTCATGTGTCCAGCACGGTAAGGTAGCTACTCACTGAAAACATTCCATCAATCACTGCAAGAGAGCCCAGAGGCTCTAAATGTAAAAGAATAATGAAGAGGTAAAAATCTTCATTATACCAACTGAGATAGCATACAGTATCCTATAAATATGCACAATTATAAATTAATTAAAACAAAAAGTAAAATTCAAAGAACAAAAATTCTACATGGGAATCATATTAAAGGTTTAGGTTTGTTTGTTTGTTTTTAAAGCAGATTTTTTTTTCTTCATCTTTCCTACTTTGTCCTACACTTATAATTAAGAGCAACATTTTTATTTTAAAAGCTTCTT